AACGTCATTGCTTCTTACATCAGCAAAAATGCCACACTATCTCCTTCACAAGGTACAACTCCATCTGCTAACAATTTGATTCCAACAACAGTTGAATTAGAAGATGGGGAAATGTCGAAAGACCCAAGCAGTAAGAAGACCCCGCCTTTTTTTCCTTTAAAAGCAGAAAATTGCAACGAGAAGGACCTCCAGACCTGTTTTCTAGCGCTAAATCGTCCTGCAGTCATCCGCCTTGAGTACGACTTTGACGTGAAGGTTGCTAAATGCGCTGAATATTCAGACAGTTGTTTTGATAAGTTAGTTATGCTTGCACAAAGGGACCTTGTCAAGTCTGTGAAAGTTTCAACGCAAGTAACGAAGGTTACATCCAGTGCTTCTAGAGCAGCCCAGACTTTGAAGGCTACAGATTTAATCAGACCAGGCCAAGCAAACAGGTCTTATATCATTCCAGTTTCGGACCCGTTGTTTGCGGGACCCAAACCAATAGTTCCAAGCTCTATTTTAAAAACATCACTCCTTTGTAATTTACCATCTCTTACCAATGTAATTACGACACCAAATACAACTATTGTTCAGCGTAAAGTTGTGCCTAGGCCTAGGCCCATACAACCGGCTTCTAAAACGCTTGTGGCAAAAGCAGTTGCTGTGAACATTGTCCCACAGCCAGCCACGCTGGTCCCGTTCGCCCAAGTTCCACCTGTTTCCACCCAGCTTGTCAATAGTGGCTTACCCTCAACATCCTCTGCTGTCAGTACACCACATATTGAAACTTCAAACGGTGGGTACAAAATTATTGGCTACTTAATCTAACCTTCTAACCTCTTATGGCATGAACGCAATCTCTTGCTGCTTTTATGGATGTGGCCTTGATTCTGCATTCGTGCTTATCTGATATATGGCATAGAAGTAAATAAGTAGCTATGGGATAAAAGGGTCATTAAGTTAAAATGGTGTATTGAAATTTGGTTGGAATTCGAAATTTTTGTGCATGAGTTTCAGTTCACTATGAATTCAGAATAGGATTTTATCACTTTTAATGCATCTACTTAAATATGATTGAGGTTGCCCGTCAAACAGAGAAAAATTAGTTGGAAAATTTTCCTTCCTGTAGAATCCTCTATAAAACCACTCTTAGGCTCTGTTTGACTGTGTAAATTATAACAGCATCCTTAACTCTTGTTTGGCCTTGTCATTTTCTCATTTTCTCAGGGATTCAAGCTTTGCATCGTTAGTTGTTGCAGTCTTGAAATTTTTCTTTTGTCAGCAAAAGATACTTTTCATACTCCACCTGTAACCATCATGGTTTGTATCCGACAACCGCAAAAAAGTCTCTTAGTGTTCAAGATATTTTCTCGATGTTACCAAATGGGCTGCCACTAAGAAGCAGTTTAATGTTTTTTCATTTGAGTTTAATCGTTGACTTTGGAAATTTGACGATTCGTTGATGGATGCCTGAGATGATACATTGAACATGCAATAATGACTAATCTACTTCTAGTCGTTTTATGAAATTTATCTTTTTTTAGCACGCCCTGTCACTTCTACCATTTTCTCAGTGCCCAGCACCTCCTCCTTGTCCACCAAATTGACAATATGGAGCTCTCCAACTAGTGAGGTACCTGATTTAACAAACAAAGTACAAGTGGAGGTGATACAAGAAGGAAGTCGAACGAAAGCACCTGTTAAAAGGCTTCATCCGACATCTGTCACCACAACTGAGAAATCATCAAAGCTACCATGCTTAGATAAAACCGTTACAACAAAAAATCCGGCAAATATCAACGAATTTGATCTTTCAACGTTTTTAGCAACAACGGATGATTCCAGGTCAGAAAATGATTCTCAGACGGGTGGTGACTCTATCAACCTCTCCACCATATTGTCCGGACTTACAAAGAATTTATGTAAGAATGGTAAAAGCGAAGCCAATAATAAGACACCCGTTACTGACAATAAGGATGCGCAAAATTCTGCCCTAGTTGCTGTAACAGCCCCAATAAAAGGCTCTACATCGACTGAACAGTTTTCTGTGGTGGAAACCTTTCCAGCTGCCGTCAGTAAGGTGACGACCGTGGATGTGTCTTCAGTTCTCACTACACCAGTGAAATGCCCAACAAAGACGCCTTCTAAAAGCGAGGCTGAAGTATTCAGGATGCAGCCAGTCAATTTTGAGCACAATTGGTTTGGAAGCGATGTAAGTAGACATTAGCTTGCATAAAATGTGGGACGATTATTAAAAAGTCTTCAAACGACGATTGTTTAAAACTGTTTTTCCTTGTATTTCAACCCAACCAAGTTTTGTCAAACGCCTGTACATGCAGTGGCCAATCGTATTTCATAAGCGGAGCCCTCAATTTTGAGGTTGCTGATTAACCTTTGTAAATGTGAAAGTCTGTCTTTTTACTTTCGTTGATCGAAACAAAAGATTCTTCGTCTTAAAATAAAAACATACACCGACTAATCACAATGTTCCTAGTCACACAAAAATCTTTACTATTTAGTTTAATTTTACCAATGAATTGTAATTATGCGTAATTATGAAACTGCAAAATTGCCGTTAAAATCACAGTCATTGCTAATCCAATTAATACAAAATCATACCAGCGTCAATTATTTGTCATTTTCTTGCAGGTGTCAGAACTGTCACTAAGCGGGATCCTTGGTAAGAATCTAACTCGCTTTTTAATTTATTTAGAATATGAACGAAGGCTTTGTTACACGATTAGAGTTTTTCACAAATATTCTTTAGATGTTACTATTGTCAAAGGGTGAAGAAATTTTGCACGAAATTATGTTATATTCAACTATAGAATATTCATCAATTTTATTTTCTGGTGAATGTCTGATGAAAAATCTGACCATTTGACGCGGCCTTTAGGGATATACCGGTAGGAGGAAATTCGAAAACATGCTCTGACAAACCGATAAGAATATTTTTGTTTTATCTCAAAAAATAAACCGAAAGTTCTCTATTTTCAAAAAATCGATTATATATGATTAATTTATGCTCAACTATGTATAGGTTTGATTCCGTCACTCTTGATTTTGCTCTCATCTCTATTAGAATTTAGTTATTGCGCTGGAAGTATCCTTAACTGTGAAGTATCCATTGAGCTAAATACGAAAAGAGCTCTTTACGATAATCCTTCTTCTTGAAAACTCGCGCATATTTTGCATTTGACATAGATAGGGCTGTTTACTTTGTTATGTTGCCTTCTTTTTCATTGCAATCTAGACTCCTTTCTTATTGCAAATGGTCGTTGACTACAACCTGCCTCTATCTTGATCCTACTTTAATGGTTATTGACTTCATTTTGCTAATACAGACCCTTTCTCGTGTTAGACGTCAGCAATTTGAAAGACGCTACTGGAAAAAGTTCTGATTCTTCTCAGGTAGGCATGTAAAGTACTTTGCAACCTCTTTTTGTCTTTATTCAGCAAATGGCGAGTCTGCAAGTTTATGAGTCTGAACGTTTGCTCGGATAACATAAGAACGAATATAGGACTTTTAAAAACCCTCAATTTGCCTCTCTTTTTGTAATCTGTTTGTGTTCGTAAATCATTGTTTGAACAAAAAGTTATAAAATATACCATAATATACCATATCACGACTTTGCTTTAGTAAAGAGCCTGCAAAAACACAAAAGCTGGCAAAAGAATAGCAAATGGAAACCATACTAAATCACGATAGAAATACAAGAGCAACGGCTTAATAGTCTCGTAAAGGCCTGCTCTTGCCAATGGCAGTCTTGTTTTATGATAGCAGAGCTTGTTCGACTGAGAAACGGAGGACGAAAGGGGTAGAAATCGAGAATTTTTTATAAGAGCATCTTTGTTTTTTATTCATCTTTGCTTGTCTCGTCATTGGCGTAAGAATGAGGGAGAACAATCTGGGGACCTCTCCATACTTTTATTACAATAATGCTGACAATTGTGTATTGCTTCTATGAGATTGTGTTCCATAATCTACTCATCATTTGTTGGTTCAGTGGAATTCCTGTTTGCTGGTTACCATCTTTCCTTTAGAAAGCGCCCACTCTCGAAAAGGTGCCCTCTCTCGAAAAAGTACTTCCTCCTTTGAAAAAGTGCCCCTTTAACCCGTCCAGAAATCAAAAAGCGCCTGGGCGGTAGGCTGTTATTGTTTTTCATGTAGGTGATGCTTTCGTTACTCAAAAGAACAATTACAAATCGCTTGGGTGGATGTAAGCTCTTAAAACGTTACTGATTCCTTTATTGAGTTGGCAAAGCCCACACTTGAGAGAACGTTCACGTTTGGAATTTGCCAACACCGCCACATTGACCCATTGCACCTAATAGTAGAAAAAGTGTGTTCCCTTTTTGATTAATTTCCCACAGCCAATCTCTCAAAAAGATCTATAAGCAAATATACAATTTCCCACAACCTTTTTTTCAATGTTTACTCTTAAGCTTTGATACAATGATGTATTTTCCAGTGATTCATTTTCTTTGTAAAGAATATTATGGAATTCAACGATATTCTATGCATGACCAGTATGAGTGGCAGCGTGATTTCCAAAACATCATACAAACAAACTTGCGTATTTGTAACTTCATCATAACAATTTTCAAGGAATTTTTAATGACGCTCATTTTATTTTTTATTCCAATAAAAAAATTCTTCTGCTGTAGACAGAACATATTGCAAAGACCTGAAATATATTATGTTTATTTGCTTTTCTTTGTGGTTATATTGCTTTCAATATAGCCACAACTTTAGCATTTGGGATAATCTGAAATCGCCTAGAATGATTTAGTTTATTCACAGAGGAAATCAATGAATTATAATTATTTTTCAAACAATTCTAATTTGGCGAGAATTATAGAAACTAGACTTTAGGTTTTCGATCAAATGTTTGTGTTTATTTACTTTTAGGAATATTACTTTTCCTTTGGTATCTTACAAATGCTCATTGTCTTTCTATCACCAATATATTTTGGCTTATATTTCAATATGTTTGATTTGTTTTCATTCTTTTCAGGCCAGTGAAATTTCAATCAGCAAATTATTAGGTGAGTATTGTGTAAACTTTACTTGTTTAAATTATTCTTATTTTTTGTTCCCTATCAGAAGGGACAGAACGCTTCATCCATGTCACTGACAGTGTTTGCTCTGGATACGGTTGGGCTTCTTTTGTCCCAATTTATTTTTGTTTCATAAAAATCACTAAGTGTTTTTAGCTGTTCCTTTTTTTAGTACGTTTTGCTCGTACAATCTTAGATTAAAGTTTCAGCCTGCAAATGAATTTTGAAGCCAAATTTTCCCTTCTCTTCCATATCAGTCTAATAGAAGTATTAACTTTAGGTGAAATTCGTAAGAAGAATGAAGTTGAGAATCTTATTGGAGGGCAGGTAAGCTGGCTTTTTAACAAATGTTACTTGCAAGGAGGAGACGTTTCCGGAGGGGGGCTGTACAAAGGGGTATGAAATTCGAAAATTTATGATGACCGATTGATTAGGCCGTTATTTCGAAATTGATATTTTCCTACTCAACTGCATACAGTGCCAGATTCTGCATAGATAAATAGAAAATGAGAGAGCTGTTGTTAAATCAGGGTGAAATAGAGAATTAACTATTATGTAATATAATTACCTCTTTGAAGAAAAATAGATTATGAGAGCCTTTGCTGGGAAAAATTGCTATTAGACCAATAACGCTAATACCGCTCCCAGCCGCCCCTGTAAGTAAAATATTTATTCTCATTTTGATTGGAGTTTTATTAATTTGAATTTAGGGAACTGAATTATCACTTGGGACAATCCTTGGTAAGTTTTGCATATTGACTTCTACTTAACGCAGTTCTTTCTCAATATCTTCGGGCGACGCAAAGAAATGAAACTTCAAATCAGCCAAAGTTAGTCCATAGAAAGGAGGTATCCTCTAGGAAAGGATCAATGAACAATTTAGCGGACATTAGCGATTTGCAGTGGAAAACGATACAAACCTATTTGCTTATAAATGAAAAAACTGCCGAACAATTTTAAGTCATATTTCATGTTTTCGGTCAGATCAATGCCCGTTTTTGTTGTGGCTATTAATCTTGATTTCTATACTAATATGTCGGATTAATTATGAATTGTTGATATTTTGATGTCACAGTTTTGACATTTAAAAACTTACCCAACCTTATATTAATGCATTTCTGGAGCAACAAAGTAAGTGTCAGTTAACCTTGTGATTTTTAAACTAAGATGTTTTACCTTTTCTAGGTACTAGTGAAAGTAAGGCAGATGACAAAAAAGAGTCTTCTACTCAGGTTGATTTTCAAATACTTTATTTTGTTATATATTATATTATTATATATTTATTATATTATATTATATTATATTATATTATATTATATTAATATTTATAATTATATTATATTTTTATATTATATTATATTATATTATATTAATATTAATATTTATATTATTTATATTATAATTATATTATACTATATTTTATATATTATATTATATTATATTATATTATATTATATTATATTATATTATATTATATTATTCTGTTCTGTTATATTATGTTTTATTTTTTTATATAATATTTTATTTTATTGTTTTATCTCATATCATTTTATACTATTTTATGTTATGTAACGTTATGTTATTTGATAAAATATTATATTTTGTCATCATGAGGTGAAGTTTTATCATATAACATTTTTCTACATTGCTTTTGTCATTAAACCTTCTCATTCATTTTCAGAATAATGAATTATCGATCGGAAAGCTGCTAGGTATGATTCATAAATTTATTTTCTGTATCTCATCATCTGCTTTCGATTTTTTCATATTCAAACGGCAGAGTTGTACTTGTTTGCACCGAATTTACATATAATTTGCATAAAGCGTTGGAATTTTTTATTCCAAGCCTTCGAACGAGTGGAAATGTTTAGTTAAGAGATTCCAAATGCAGTATTTGACTGAAGCATTCCATGAAGAGACCGGAAATGCAAAGCAAAAGTCTGTTTTGAAAGTAAACCTTCTCAAAACTAGTAACTTTTTGTAAAAGGGGGTGCCTATGAGTACCAAAGGAAAGTCTTATTAGTCAAGAATATGACATTCTTGGAATATCGACCCCTTTTTGCGCGAAACTGAAGGTTGTTTTTAAAATCCCCTAATCTATTTTTGGCAAGGATTTTAGCTACGACATGGAAGCTCAAGGTACTAATTCTGAATTTATTTCTGTCCGATTTCTCGTAGATGTCGTACGAAAAGATGAAAAGCGAAAGGAGTCAGTCAACCCGGTAAGGTTTTGCGATGTTATGGTTTAGTAAAAATCCTCTTTGTGCCCGGTTCCTGAAAGCAAAGTCCGGACTTATTATTAATACTTTCATTTTTTTCACTTCATTTTAAAGCTGAATAAATTTCAGAATAGACCTGTTTAAAATCTAAGATACAAAAAAAAGTGTCCCATCCAAAACCGAGGCTTGGAGCCGTTGTGGATGCAACATACTTGCCGTTCGTTACGATTCTGGCTACTCTGTTTTGTACTGAACACTTTACGTTGCATGATTCGATTTAAACAAAATCCATGTAAAATTAATTATAAAGTTAGCATTTCTTACATAATTCAAGTTTTGTGGAAGTGTACCTTGTTGTATGACAAGTATGACGTTGTGGTCGGTTTTTCCATCGTTTAGTCATAGGCCGGGAAAATGTTCACCTTTCCTCTTGACAATTGACTAAAGCTTTTGAAACTTTTCATTAGAATTTCAAAGGAATATGGTGGGGTTTGGGAGCTGCACTTTCATTTCGTTTGTGTTATTGCTTTTCCATGCGGCCTTGACAGTTTTATTGGCCTTCCTTCTCAAGCAGAAGCATTGATATTGCGACCGGCCATATCCGAACAATTCCATGATTAGTATCGTATCTTTTTATAGACTGAAACCGTGAAATCCTTCAGTACCGATTCCTTGCTCATGAAACCAGATGCAGACGTAAGTATAAATTTGTCTAGCTTTTACTAAATTCAATGGCGCTT